CTCTTTTGTGCCGGGCTTTCGTAATTATAGAATGGAAAGAAAGGAGCGATTGTCTCGCAAAGAGCGGATAGCGATATTGACGTTCGACGACAGATTGACGGATGAAACAGTTTGTTTAACCGCGAAATGCTTTTTGCTAGCAGCCACCTTTGAGATCCCTGGGATCACCAGGGAACTTTCTCCGATAGTTTATCCAGTTGGACAGTTCGATCAAGATCGGTGTGTCGCCGTGGAAAGCGTTCAAGCTCTTTGAAATGTCTTCTCTGTTTCACGACAAAGGATCCACTTTCATTACCGTTTAATCGTTTTTATTGATAACATCAATAGACGGTTAAAAGTACAATGATGATAAATAGAGCGTGGATTTATTTCACATAAAATAGACTTTTCGTGATGTCAGAGTTTAAGAAATGAAATATAAATTCCGATTTCTTTTACTCTTCAAGTATGTTTGATATTTTGCTGAGTAAAATAATATCAATACTATTTTATCAAAAGAATACTGCATATGTATTTATCCAAACTGCACAATATGTATTCTATATAATATCAAATTTTCCAAGAAATTTATAAAATTCACAATCTAATAATAGAGAATTCACTATAAAAATTGAAGTAACCCATTTGTTTTTGTTATTCAGTGATAAGGTAAATAACTGACTGAAAACTTTTCTGGAAAGGAGGGTCAGAAATAGAAAGTCGATCGGTTCCACTCGAAAATAATGTACACAGGCGGTGCATACAAGAAATACGTTTTATCAAGAGCGCGTTCGATTACTTGCAAATTGATTCGAATTGGCTATAGTACGCGGGTGTACGTGTACGTACTGCGCGTACGCGACTAATCTTGACACGATTGTTCCATTATCTCGGTCTCGATACGATATCGCTAATCGCAATCGCGTACGCTCACAATGACGACGACGCTGTGTCCCTTTTTCACGTGAAAGCCGACCGATCTCGTTTTTCTCCTTCGCCAAGAGATTATTGGAACAGACGTGAAATGGATTCCTGGTATCCTTTGAAGTCCACGCGACGATACATCTTCGACAGTGGGTAACGATCGATAACGAAGTTTATCACCGAAATATTCGATGCCACGTGCAATTATCGACAACATTTAAACCGGCTCCTGATTCCGATTACAATACTCCGACCAGTCGCTTTCCTCAATCGATGCTGAGATGTCCAGGAAGCTATTGTTTTTATTTTGCATTCTCGTCGAGGGTGGTAAGTTAATACAATACAATATGGGTCATTTGAATTAAACATTTTTCGTTATAAAAGATCTTTCTTTCTCGTGCACAGTTTTCGCATCTGACAATTTGAGATACGTGAACATCACGGAGTATCCTTACCATGTAAGTGACTAAAAGTATGATTTCAATTATCAGAACGTTATAAGGTAAATGCCCCAATTTCTGTTCACGTCACAACTTTTACGCACTGGCTTATTTTTCTATAATTCTGAGATAACATATAAAATTATAGAATAATGCGTTAGTTAATAGAAATTGTGATGTGAACAGAAATTGGGAGACTTAATATAATAACAGACTTCATTAATCGCGAAATTCTCACTACGGTTTCTCTCCACAAGATTTTAATCTTTCCTAAGATCACTTGGAACTAAAGTGGAAAATTGTTAGGAAGTAAACTTACTTTGATTCTTCCAAAAACGAGGCATTATGATGATTCACGTGTAGGAAAATCATAAATTTACCATGATTTATCGAAGAACAAAGTACTCTCAATGTTCACTTGTATAACAGGTATCCATCGAAAAATACGACGAACACAAGTGCAGTGGGGCGTTGTTGCACGAGTCATGGGTGATCACTGCAGCATCCTGCGTTTTTCGGGGAGTAGTATACAGTGTAACACAAATGCGGACGGAGCTATGCGAATGGCTTACACGCGAACGCGGCCGATAACGATAGGTGTTAATTTGTTTACAGTTCGGATCCATCCGTGGTGACCGTGCGTGTGCGTACGTCGATGCTTTCTAATGGAGACGTACTCCAAGTAGACAGTATCGTAGTGCATCAAGAATTTGATAAATTCGTGCTACTCAATGACATCGCACTAATCAAGGTACGTTTCAAGTGAAACACAAATCATCTGTCTTCTGATGTCAATGTATGTTCACGTATGTAAGTAAAATTCTAACGTCTAGTTCCATGAAAAATAAATATATAACACATCATTTTCTCTAAAAGTTCATTGCTTCAAATATTGGACACAGGCTTTTATTACATGTCTTAAACTTTTGGCAGAAATCTTACAGCTCATACGACCTTAATTAAATTTTAAATTAAATTGAGAAGAGTAATTTGAAACAGACCACGTTTTATTGTTATAAAACACTAGGCGTGAGAGTGTATTATAAATGTAAAAGTAAAAAGAATCGAAGACAAGTGTGAAATCAAAACAGCTCAAATCAATAGAAACATAATCTCGAGAAGTAATCATTTTCATTTACATATGAATCTTATCAATCCTTATTTATGTTAGTTATAATGAGAAAAACTTATTGGCGCAAGAATAAGAAAATTTAGTAACAATTGATTCCAATCTTCATTTATATCATTTTACATGAAATAATATTTTGTACCATATAAAAAATGAGATGTAATGGTAAGTACATTAAAATATTCTCTAGTTTTGATTGATGATTCGGATACATAATTTTGAATTGCATAGAGAACATGTTTTTAACACAAAGTGTGATTGAAATATTAATAATTCGCTAAAGCGAGCGCGTACTCTGTCTTGTGTCGAAACGCGTGAAAAATTTAAACGTCTCACGATGATGTATCAATGGCAGCGTTAACGTGGCATCTCTGAACGGTGTAATGATGTTAATTCTCAGTTATCTATCGAAGCTGAAAGAATGAATGTGACAATTTGTTCGGTAAACGCATATGTTCATAGTTACGTTTGGCGGACGATTGGTAAAATACTCGATCGGTACTTCATCGTCATATATTTTTATTTGGAACGTAGTTGAAGGTTCCCGCACAATTTGGAGAGAAATTGTTGCCAATTGGATTACCGGAAATGGAAGATTACAAAATTGATGATGGAACGACGTGTTTCGTGACAGGTTGGAGACAGACTCTCGTAAGTAAAAACAGAATATCAGTCTTATCATTAGGAACCACACAATATGTACGAAATTGCTATTCTATTATATTAATTTTTCTTTTGTGATTAAGAAAATTCTAATAATGAACAATTGATCTCCCATCGTTTTTTCGATTTAAACGGGAATGAATTGTGCGCACTGATAATGCCGGGATATACGATGAAAACACGGTCGCATATTCAGCAATGTATCGCAATGTGAAATCGTTGTAAACGATCGTTCGTTTTATGCCCGTAGCTGATTATCTTTCGGTGTCATTGTGCGATCATTAAAACGCATACTCGTTTACTAAATATTCACTTTCATCCCCATTATCTGATTCAATTTTGCTACCGACGCGAGAACCCGTTCCTGGATATTCGGAAAAAACAAACGGTGCACATCTTTTTGACGATCAATTTTCAATTGACGGAAATAAAAAAGGATCTGGTAGGACGAACAAAAAACTGCGAAGCAACACCGAATTCCAATTTCGTTAACCCGTGGGCGAAATTGTACCAATGTTATTTTACAACGCTCTAAAATCCGTGGTGTAAAGTGTAAACAATAGTTATTCTGCAATAACGGAACCGTGTTTGTTTCGTAGAAATTTTTCGATTCCAACGGATAGCCGCAAGACATTTTAAAACATTTCAACACTTTTCAAAAGATCTACATGGTGATTCAATAAGAAGAGTTTGATATAACTCGTTATTCCATTGATTCTATTCAAGCACCAATATTGAAATATTATTGTGTAACGACCACGAAAACTAATGAACACCCGTTAGCGAAAATCCGTCGAAAACCGCGGGGACCGCCGGCCTAACGACACGGATTGTTTATTAACAGCGTCATTAGCAACGCGTAGTTATACATATAAGGAGCGGTCGGACCGGCGAATTCTCGCATTCTTTGCTGTGCTCGGTTGGGAGAGAACGAGGTAAGCCATCGGTCGCCCAACTGAGAGGGAGAGTACGAAGCCTAGCTCTCGGACGCCCGATACAGCCAGGAGAGTACGGGGACTACCCTGGGTCGTTCCTTGGAGGAGAGTACGGCTGGAAATTCCGCCGGACGCCAAACCAGGAACAGAGTACAGGGGACGTCACCCGGACGCCTGAGAATGTATAGGTTAAGCGTTTGGGAGAGAACGGTCGGACTATCCACCGGTCGCCCAGTAGATATAGAAATACCTCATGGAGAGGAGAGAACGGTTGGAATAACCACCGGTCGCCCTCCAGGTGTAGTTAGCGTTAGAGAAGAGTACGGAGGTTCAACCTGGGTCATTCTACGTAGGAAAGAACGGCTGGAGTATCCGCCGGTCGCCTCGAGAATAGAGTACAGGAACCCTCCGGACGTCTCTAACTATATTTATCCGAAATCATGATGATTTTGTAAACGTTCCCATGTGCCATAAGAATGTGAAAATGAATAAATTATTATTTGTGTTTTCCCAGAACCTTGATTCCTTTGAATCCCGAATTTCCCCTACAATTGTAATAAAATTTTACTATTCAGTAAATATTCTGGAACGTATTTGGGGAAATGTAAATTTAGTTTCCAAGATTTGACAAATGACGACTTGAATTAATTTATCTTACGTAGAATTTCCTGCTTTTAGTAATTGATATTAATTCTTATGGAAACAAACTGTTCATGTTGTATTCATTTAATGATGTTCAAAGACTATGAATTAGCATATGCGTTGGACATTTAATTAGTGTTAACTTTCACGTTGCACGTACAACTTTCAGGCAGGTCCAATGGAATCTCTGCTAACGGTGACAGCTGTGCCGCTGGTGGATCAGAATACCTGCAACTCGAAAATGCCGTGCTACGGGCCGGTGGTTGAGAGGATGCTTTGCGCGGGTAACATGACCTACGGGGTCGAGACGTGTCAGGTAAGATGAAGATGAGGGAGCGGCCTAGAACCAAGTCCGAGGGTTTGGAGAGTTGGGACAGGTTGAGGAGAACTGTTAGTCGCGACACTTAGGCGTCCCGAAACCGTCTTCTTAATCTCGTCTAGCTCAACGGCTCTCGCTTGTGTCTCCGTACGTTTCTAGTATTATGTGTATATTCCCCTGTTTAGTTGATATTAGTGTTAACACGCGTTAGTACCATTCACGAATCGAATAGTGTGAGATTTGAAAAATATGTATTTAATTAATGATTAAATGTTGATACATTTATTTACAGATTAAGAAATTTTATTCTGTGGTCATATTTAAGAATTGAATAGAGTTCGATTTGAATGAAATGGACTAATTGTTTGATAAAGGAAGTACGATTTAGTTAAAGTTACTTAACATTAAATCCCAGTTATTTTTATGACAGTCCGATAAAAATTTAAATTTTACAAACATATATCGTAAGAGCAGTGAATTGCATATTTAAGGGTTTTGAAATTCCAACCGGTACAGCGAATTACAAAGTTGGAATAGTTTCGTAGAGTTGCAGAGTGCAAGAGTTTGGAAAGGTCGTTGAAATGCAAATTGCGATTAGGCTATAAACTGTATTTCTGTTTTTGAAGCATATTCGGTGAGAGTTGGTGGTAAAAACGAATCTTTCAGTCTGTTTCTATTGTTTTCGCGTTTCATCTTTTGATTCTCTTGTTATCATTTATATGGATGATTCACTTGATAAAGCGTGTCGATATTCCAATAAATGTAAATATCTGGTAAACTACGGAATTAACAAATTGAGCTCGTTAACACGATTCTATCTGCGTGTCACTTGGTCATCTGTAATAATTATTCGAGCATTCGCCGTTACATTGGGAAGCACGCGCGTCTAATTTGGGTATCCACTGATATCGAATTGACGAACACATAATTGGACGCATTCGATTCGAGCACAATACATTTCGATCAGGCACAGAAACAATAACTGACTTGAAACGAGAATATTTCATTGCATAATCAATGAAAAAGGAACAAAGCTGTTATAAAAAATTCCTTTGTATTAACAGGCCCACAAGTTTAAATGCAATACTTTTATTACACAAAAAATAGTCACGTTTGATAATATTTATGTTTTCTCTCTCTCTCTCTCTCTTAAGCAGTTTCATAGATAATAAATAACCAAATGCATAAAGTATGTTTAATATCACCACTTAATGGATTAATCATAGAGGTGAGCAATGGAATCATTAACGGTAATAATCTGTATCGCGTTCCATTTCTGACTGTAGCTTTGCGAGGATGCACAAAAGACGCGACGGATTATAAGCAGCGTTCGAATACGACCGGTTGAATGAAAATTGAACGCTATTCACCGAGATTATAATGGAGAATTATCATAAAGTGCAGGTATTCCTACACGCTCCATCGTTACAATGATAACAAATGAAATTCGCAGAGATCGTTATAAAGCGCGATACCTTTCGATCGGTTCTGCAGTGCCAATGAATTCGAATTTTTTCATCTCCCATTTCCCGTCCTACGCGTCAATATGCCGCCATTGAAAATACAATTCCAGAATCATAGACGTATTATACATACATACACGTCTATGCTCGGAGTTTGTACATACATATAAAGACTGCCTTGCCGTCGCCACACACTGAAGAACGCGCGAGGCGATTTCGATTTCTGAACTCGTACAAAACGGGAACGAAACTAATTGGAATTTCGCTATTACATAACATCTCCTATCGTTCGTTGTTTCATATAATTACTGAACGTTGTATAATGCGAAATTTTCCAATTAGAATCAATTCATTTGCTTTTACATTGCTTGCAAGCTTCCACTGCAAATACTATGTTGGTCTCGCTTATTTTTTAATTTCGGTCGTTTCGTCACTTCACAGAAAATAGAGAAATTCAACTAATTAGATTAGATGAATTAATTGGACAGATCAATTGAATTAAAAGATTATTTTTATTTTAGTCAGATGAAAGGCACTTTCTGTACATCAGAATATTCTATAACTAGATTTCGTCACTCTATATTCTAATTTCCAAATCCGCGATGCATTAGCGAAACTGGGAAAGAGAGATGGAGCACGGGAGAACGTGTGTAGGTTGGAAGTAATCACTGAAACTGTCAACCCTCGTCTCTGCTCGCAGGGTGATCCAGGTGCTCCGCTGATGGAAGGCCAAACGCTGATTGGCGTTCTATCCTATGGATTAGGGTGTAAAACTATGATACATCCAGGTGTATATACACGTGTCAGCAGTTACCTAGCTTGGATCTTCGCGAATTCCGGCATCCGTTATACGTGAGATCGTTCACGCACGCTGTGTCAACAAAAAACTTGTCAAGGCTATTTTAATTCGTAAAGAATATTTTTAAAGTTATCGTTATTATATTATTAGGTTGCGGATTTTATGCATCTACAAGAAAATTAAATATGCAGAAAACATAAAAACTGCATGTAATGTCCAAAATTGAGCAGAATATTATTTTCGAACAGTAAAAGCAGATTTAATTTTTATATTTCGGATATCATGAATATTTTATTTTCCATAAAAAACCGCAATCTATATATTATATACCATTTATTAAAATTAAACATTGTTAATAATTAAATTCAATAAACGCTGATATAAAATTATCATCCAGGAAGGGATTTAATAGTAGTGTATGGACAGTGGAAGAGTCGGAAAGTCTTCACCCGTTTTCATTTCTGTTGCGACTGAATCTTTTCCACCTGGTAAATGTGTGGAACATTTTGTCGAAACGAGCAAGTAAAACTCGATTTTGCTTTGTTAACAAACGATTTTTTTTTCACGTGTTAGAATTACACAGACAGTTTTGTTTCACTTAATTAATGCGTTGATAGAACTGATAGATGTGTTCCAACTTTAGTTGGGAATGAGTTCTGTTTTGCGAGAAAGAATTTTTTTCAAGAACAGATAAGGCTTATGAACGGGAGTGTACCTTCCAAACAATAAATTCGCGACAACTGTGAACCGAATTCATAAATCGCAGATTAAACTCGGGCCAACATCGTCGATCGAGCTAATTAGCGGTTTCGTCGACTAGGTACTTTATAACCAACGGCAAACTCGATAAAACACAGGAACGATCGGCCTGTCTGCTGCCTCTGTTCTATAGCTGCTCGTTCATTAACGTACTAAAGATACTTATGGTAAAAATGCGCGACTAATTACTGAATTAATTACGAACAACCTTACGATAAAAAGTGACCAGTTCAATCCGATACGAACTTATCATGGTGTATATTAAACTTTCTAAGGTTTATTACATATCTAGCTATATTCGTTTTTCAATATAACATTAAACGCAATTAACAAATAATTTTGTTTAGTGATGTTTAATTTTTCATTAATTATTATTCTAGTTATTTTCTTATTAGGTTCGCATGTATTATATATCTAATCGTTAGAAAAATCAAAAGTTTAATAAAAGAAGATAAGAATTGTAAGAATACTACAAGAAAAAAATGTTAAGTAATGAGTTATGTATTTACTACATTAATCATCGATCTAACACCGTACTACAAAGATTTCATGTATTGATTCACAGTTGAAACATGGAAGGTAAAATAAAAAAGAGTTTATAGACGATTAATAATTTCTAATTTATAGTAAAATTACATATGAAACATTTAACGTGCGCGTACGGAATATTCATGATTAATTTTCCCAACCACGAATAGAGCAAACATTTCATAATTGTGGATGGTAATTATTTGATGGAAAAGATAATACTAAATGTGATTCGTTATTGAACAATAATATAATATAATATGATTACGATACAAAATAGCAATTAAGCGATAACACGTGGCTTGATTATTTATTTTCACAAAGTAATTATTGTTTATCTTCTAAATACAAAGTGCCGGGGTGAAGATATATATCTGCTTGCTGAGTAAATTTTCGAGTTCGTGATCTACAACGTATCTCATCCGCGTGATGAATTTCACAGACCGGTTTTCTGTGTGATCCAACGACGAACCACAGTTACACGCGTGTAAACACCTGGATAAGATGGTCGCGCGCATCCGAAACCCCAAGATACGATTCCTATTAATTTGTCGTGCTGTACCAATGGTCCACCGCTATCACCCTAATAAAATCATACATACTCCACATAATATACTGTATTTTATGATTATATTGTATAGAGCAATTATATTTTTAAAAGACTTTTAAACTGAGGTATTATTCATTCCTCTTGAATCCTTTACTCCATAACAATCATTACATCATACAACTAGCAATAATAATCAAAATATCATATCTTTTACTTATTCCATAAATACTTGATAAAATGATTATGGAGTTTTGCATGAATATTGCTTTATAGATTTACAGCTTATAGAAATAGACTTATTTTCTATATTTCGTAAGTATAACATAACTTGCAACTAATTTTGATAACATGTGAGGCACTTTAATAACGCTATTAAAGAAACCGATTATCGTCACGCGTTCGAGGAACGATTAGGGTAGGCAATTACCAACCTGGCACGCGTCCTTCCCGCCGTCGTTCACGTAGCCGGCGCAGATCATTCTCCTGGTGATTGGCCGGGTCATGTATAATCGCGAGCATTGAGCGTTGGAAACGAGCGGGACCTCGACCTTACGTAACCGGGCGGTCACCGCTCCGCCGCCTCTCGTGACTCCCCATCCGGTGACCACTGCTCTGCTACCAGCGGCATAATAATCGGCAATCGGCGCCAGCAGTATAGGTTTCACCCGCGAGCTGTATACCAACGGCTTTTCCAACTGAAATTGTGCTTAATTGGTTTGAACGCGCGGTGGCAACGAGTTCCGGACGCGGGAATTGATTGTGAAACGGTAATTGAATTCGTCGGGCTTTGGTATGAACCCTCTCCTACCCTTAATAAATAAACCTCTTGTCGATCGACGTGAGACTACAGTAACTTTACTCACCGAACTTGATTTCTGTTATCATTCTCCTATTAGAGATAGTACAAAATCACAATGATCGCAGTAACGTTATCACGGTCGTGATTTAACTTCACCACCGTGATCGTGTTTTTATCTTGATATTGAATGAATTTACTCGTCGTGATCATGATTGAATTATTTTATATAAAACACTTCAATACAGCTTGCAATTGATTATTATTAATGTATTCGTTGATTGATTGTTTCATATTACTTATCACATAATTTTAACGTATTTTTTAATATAGAGAAGAGTTATCTTGTTTATACTGCCTATCAGAAGTGACCACAAAAAATCATGAACCACTGTGAAACATCATCGTGATTGAGGGAGAACGTGATTCAATCAGGTGATTCGCAAGTAGTAATTCATGCGACTCGAATTAGAACGTGAAGATATCATGTTTTCTTGTTACAATATCGATCTTATTCTACCGTAAAAATATATTTCTACTCTTTCAATTTTAATTAGTCCTTGTTCTCCTTATACACAATATAATTATTTTGAAAAATGCAGAACATTCTATATAGCGTAAAGAAATTCTACAAGCTACATTTAATAATGTCACCAAGTGTAAAGTATAAAAAGTGGAATTACTCACTCGAATCAGGGCAATGTCATAATCCGCGATGCTTCTTTGATAATTCTCATGCGTGATAATTTCTTTCGCGACCACTATGATGGCATCCTCATCCCTGAGATCAGATGTGCCCGCCTTGATCGAAATGGGATAGTCGTAAGGGCTTCAATCGAACAGAGCAGACAAAGGTATTTATTAATGAGTGCGACGTTTGCCTATAGATTATCTTATCATCATAAACAATATTCATAATTTCACTTTGATCATTCAGCAAATTCATTTTCTAAAAATTGTGTATAATACGTTACTGCAAGTATGCTAGATTTAGTGTTGCTTTAAAAATTGATAATCACTGTATCTCATTTTCACGGTTCAGTACAAAGTTGAGGTACACTAAAACGAACAAGATAATTAATTTGCCTATGAAAATTCGTTCAAATGATTTTGTATACAATTTGATTTAATTAATGGTGTTAACTTTTTTAAGTTCACTGATCAATTTGCATATGTAGATTACGAAATTAATGCAATCACTTAAAAAATACCGTTCAAGGTTTGATGCTACTTGTTAGAAGTAACAGAAAATGAACGTACATATATACCTTTGTACACAATGGGCAGCCGTGACAATCCATTCCTCGCTAATGATAGCGCCACCGCATACGTGACGATTGCTAAATCGGAGGGAGACCTGCAAAATTTCAGTGGGCGCGTAACAATCGAGTCTGAGGTACTTGGCGCTCCGGGAACATCATTTTTCTGATATGATTTTTAAAAGCGCGAGCTCGTTACCGCGGCCACCTAAAATTATATCTGCGTTCACGGTAGATTATTCCGTTTCGCGTGAGAGCCACTTACTTTATGAGAGAATTGAATCGGCGAGAGACGTTAAAATGTCCTTGATATATCCCTATTTTGATGATATATGACTCGCACAAAATTACACAATTGTTTCTGGATAGTTAGTTCTACATCCCACAAAAAAAATTGTGACTCTTCAAATGCTACTAAAAGAATTTTTCAAGTTATTCAAAGAAGTATTCGTTGAATTCCAAGTTAAGAACAAGAAAGAAACTGTCGCTACTTTTTGGTTTATCTATTTAAAACAAATGTGACATTTCGCATTTTATTTTGCCCTATGTTGTTTTTTCAGATTTTTTTCAAGTAAATATTATTTCTATGATCGCCATTATATCATTCACGAAATAACGATTCCTATAGAAATATTATGAGAATCCTTTGAAAAACATACTAGCTTTACAGAAATCGGGCAGTATATGTTAGATAAGTGGACTGTTTATACATGTATACATATATGTATGTATATAAAGAATACATGCACACACATATGTATAGATAAAACATACAAAACAACACATTAAGGAAGTATAATAGATATTTAAATGATTTTCCAGAAATGTATAATAAACGTATGCATTAAGAAATGTTTAATTGTGACGAATAGTCTATTGGAAAAGTTTAGTTGTACAGAATCACATACACATATAGCTTTTTAATGGGTTGTTTTGAAACGTTTCCGGTCGACGGATCCCGGCCAATTAATCTTTGCCAACCGCGGGGGAACGATTCGTTTCGAATACTTACCTGGTACGGATGCTCATCGATACTCGCTGGCTCGCCTCCAACAATACGGCCCTCGTCAACTGGAAGAGAACCAATTGTTGAATTCGCGTTTCCGTCCGCATGCTCGTTCAAAAACTACACTAATTAAACCGCCGCGCCGACCGCTGTTCCACGGTATTTAATGACTTTCCTTAAATTCAGAACAGACGAACGAAACTCGAGTATTTTCAGGTTTATCGAATCAAAAATTGCCAATGCATGAAAATAATTGAACGCATTGGCAAATTGAGTACGAATGGATAGATAATAAATATCATAATAAAATGTTCTCACTCTTTAAATTTTATTAAGTCAATATGCATTCCTTTCATAAACACGTGAATTCACATCAAGTATGTAATTTTAATAAAATTATTATTTTATATTACAATATTTAATATAAGTAGTGCAAACGCAAGGGCATTTTTTATGACAGTCTTGAAGTACGCCAGGTATGTATATATTTCGTTGAAGGATAAAAATCTAATCGTACGTACGGTCGATGAACGAAATCTGCGCCAAAGCGAACGAAGTGAGCTGCAACAAAAGCAACGGCGACGTATACATGGCGGGAGTTTGCCGAAGGAACTACCTGTCCGGTTCCAGGCTCGGCTTTCTTTTATTTCGATATTCGGGTTAATTGTCATTCGTATCAATTTGACCGAACACGAGAAAAATATCCACGAAGGAGCACGAGCTGTCGTAACCTAGATTCCCCGTCGATTACGTAAAAACGACAGAGACAAAAATGGAACCTGAACGCGGTGTGACCGCGCGAGCGCGATAACCATCATACCTTTGGAACGAACCAATTAACTCGGAGATTTGTCTCGCCGTTTCCATTCGAACCGTTCTGGCAACAAATTAGCCTCTTATAACGAAATGTCGTAAACCAAACGGTCCACAGTTTTCTACGAGCACGTCTTTAAGCTTTTAGCAAACGCTGAAGCTGTTAACAATCTTTTGTTTCATTTAATTTTCATTAAGCTGTCATTTCTTAAAGAATACAATTTTTTTTCACATTCGAAATATCGACGCGCATCGCGAGCAACAACAGCAATTTGATTCTCGTTAAAAGAACTTGCATAGCTCGTACTACCGGAAGTAAAATTCGAAACACAAGCGCATCGAATAGTCATTAAGGTCTGTTGCACGTGACTGCGAGTTGCGGCAACAGCAGAGTGCTGTTTGGTAGATATCGATTGCTTACGCCGGGTTCGCTACTTGGCACTGCACTTCCTTCGATAAATACAAAAATATTCTTTTGAAAAACACGTTACGTATGAAAATTGATTAGAATTTGTGAAATTGTTTTAATAGTTTACATGATTCACATGCTGGATTATTCATAATCTAAGGTCTTATCAAGGCATTCACATTTAACGATCACAATTATTCTGGATTTTAAACGTGCATCAAATCTTGCCTTCTGAATTCGGCCGGTCTCACTTCACATCATTAATAAACGTTACACGTACGTATATATGTATGTAAAACTGGATCAGAGAAATTCTCCATCGGAATTCTCTTTACTAGGCGAAGACGCCGATCATCGCCGACACGTACAATGCAACAGTTCGAGGCTCTCGTTTCTACCTTTACGAGCGCGCCATCTGCGCAAAGCTGCAAAACCGTTTATGCAACTGCGACACCGCCAGACTAAAGCCCTGAAGCACGTCCGGTTCGCTCGTAAAATTAATAATTCCCGATGACGAGCGGAGCTTTGTCTCCCGAGCTGGAACAGGTGAAAACGAGCAAAATGGACGTCGGGTGTTTGCAAAATAATTATTCTCAAAGAAACAATTCGTTTTTAAAAATACTCCAACAATAGAGATGTTAATTTATGTAATTGTTTTTAGCAAGAAGAGTAATATGTTTCGTTTTATTTAGTTTTTGAGTTTTCTTTCTCATTTACAGTACAATATCTTTATTGATTGCTTTTAATTTTCCAGTGATTGTTTAAGTCGAGTAAGGTGAGAACAGGCAGCTTACATGCTCCAACGTGACGCAAAGTGTTTATAAAGGAGGCAGACCTTTCAATTAACCGTTCTTTCACGACGCACCAGTAATTTTTTGTTTCATTCGTGTTCTGTCACAACGCGCGTATATGGAAGTCTCTCGTCTTCCTTTGTCGTTCACGCGGTTTGTTCGATCACGTTGTTACGACGAGGTCTTTATTACGACGCGTGTTCGCTTGGAATTCTCGAGGTACGCTCGTTTCAACAAAATTCTATGACTCTTGTTTCTACAGAAACGGATTTGTCGTATCGATACGTCCAGTTATTTGTTTGCAGTATATCGAGACTCGTATTGTAGCTTGAATCAATGAGTATTGTCGGAAATAACAAAATATTCATTGGATTTACTATAAAGTGCTGCATTGTTTTAGTGTTATTCTCAATATCTTTAAGTATAATACTTTATCCTCCTGCTAAATATAATACCCTTAGGAAGATACGTAATAATCATTTCCCGCTATAAATTAAAGTAATTTGCCTCGCTTATACCGTAGTGTTATGCATATGTTCATAATAATATGACAACAAGTCGATTTCGACATGGGCAGCATTGTTAACATTTAAAGGATAAATATATAATGCTATATATGTATGTGTATATGCAAGGTATGCAAAGAAAACAAATTTTTGGGTTTAGTTTATATCATTGAAAGAAACATTGAACCCATAATTATAAATGTAAATAATAACGATAGTTGTTCTAAATTAGGCTCACAATAATAAAATACAAATAAATATAAATAGAATAATAAGAATTTCAAGAATTGTAAATATGT